AGGAGAGGCAAAGTGGAAAGCTTTAAGGTCGCGGACCTGGTTTTATCGAATTCAAAAAATCTGCCTACACATGCAGTCTTTGCTATCTTCTGGACGAAGCTTCGTCCACGGTTTATCGGACCGTTTAAGGTTGTGGCCAAACGGGACCTGGCGTACACGCTGAACTATCCGAAACGGATGCGCACCCACCCGGTGTTCTACGTGGGCTTGCTCAAGCCGTACCCAGATCCGGTGCAGGTGAACGCGGAAGCGTTGGCGCCAGAGCGGATCCCACGGGCCCGCGGCCACTCAGAAGTTAAACCAGCAACTGTTTCTGAGCAAGGAGCGCAACAAATTTCATTTCCAACGGAGCCAAGCGCTCCACCGCTGCCTGCAGCGATGCATTCGCCTGCTCCACAACTAGGAATCGCTCCGACAGAGCGCGGTAGTACTCAAGGCGAGGCAGCCGGTGCACGACGTGCTTTAAATCGTCAAGAGTGTCCGCACAGCGATATGCTACTTCAGTATGGCGCTCAGCAAAGCTCCGATTACGAAGGACCTTGTTCTCAAGGGCTCGAAGAGCATCGCGAGTCACTGGACGGCGGTCGAGCCGGTCGTCACCGCCCGCCACCGACTTTTTTTTATGAGAACGGTGACGTCCACTATCACGTGAAACGTCTTGTTGGACGACGTCGTCACCAGGGTCAAAACCCAATGTCTGGTGAATTGGCGGGGATATCCCGACTCCAAAACTCGTGGGAGTCTGAGGCGCCACTTCGGCAAGATTGCCCAGTCACCGTGGACGCTTTTGATTGGAAGGATCAGGACGTCCCGCGTCATCACACGCACCGCGCTTCTCGGTGATAGCCTGGGAAGTAGATGGGTCATGAGCTGAGCTCAAGCAGTGGCCCCGAGCTCTTGCGGTCGAAGACACAGAGCTCACGGGAACATCAGGGGTTGTCAACCCATATGTCGCAGGGCGACAATCCGAAGGAAGTCAACGGTGTGCTTTCAGTTTGGCAAACGGTGCCGTTGCACCCATCGCTCAAAGAGCGCTTTGTCATCTGTTGCGCTTTCGCCAGAAGCGACCACTACAGGAATTGTCCGCATTGCTGGTACACGAGAGCCACCTCATTGAGCACGTAGACGAATGCGATAAGCTTCCAACTTAATTTCTTGTGGGGCCAAGAAACGAGCTCGAAGAGCTTTTTGTGTGGCAGGTTCATCTTCCGTTCTGACCGGGGGCTCGATGATGTGGACGCATAACGATCGAGTTACCGCGTCCTTCGCTTTCACAGCGGATCCGCTGGGCGGAAGCCATATTACACACGATGGTCAATGACCGGCCGTGGATGGGCGCGCTTCAGAGCCGCCTTATGGGCAGCTTCAAG